ATTTTCAGCACAAGCCAACTTCAGACAATTTGTAGAAAAAAGATAAAATATAAGATGTGAAATCACTATAAATGGTATGATTATTTAATCTCTAACGCTTAGGCTTTTTACCTACAAAATGGCGATACTACTTTCAAAGTGTATTGTGAGATTTGATGACACTGTACATATTGAACAAATGCTATTATAAAACACCACCAGAGTTAGAAATTTCACATAAATAGCTCAGAAAATCCATTGGCTTTTTTATTATCTGAAATTTGTCTTTATCATATAATAAACATATTTTAAGACTCAGGTTTATACACAAGCCATTCTCTGCAAAGAGCCTTCTATAAGCTTAGTTATCTTAACAGTCAGTATCTTTGAACTAAGAATAATTCACTTGGGGCTGGAGATGACTCTGCAATGAAATTGCTTACTGCTCTTGACAGAGGACTGGGTTTGGTTTCCAGCACCAACACGGCAGTTAACAATCTGCCCTCAGTTCCAGAGGATCTGATGTCCCCTTTGACCTCACTGGACTCCTATACGCATTTGGTAGACGTATATACATGCATATACATAAAATAAACAAACCTAAATACCCATCTCAGCCCAAGTCCTGCTAGCTGTGAAGACTTCTAAATTGGGGGGTCAGAGCTAGAGATACATAGCTCAGGTGGCAGAATACTTACTTGCCTAGCATGCAGAAATACATACAACTGGATGTGGTTGAGGCTTTCTGCAATCCTAGTTTATAATATCAGCATCTAGTAGAGGCATGAGTAACAGAAAGTCAAGGTCATCCTCAAATATTTAAACCCAGTTTAGGCTAAAAACCCTATGTCAAAAAATAAGTAAGAGACGGAGAAATTTCTTGATGGGTAAAACGTTTTCTGCTCAGAAAGAAGGTCTGTAGCGCCCACATATAAAGCAAAATGTGGTAATGCACAGCTGTGCTGTGAAACAAAGACAGAAGATTCCAGGGGCTCACGGCTAACCAATCTCCCATCATCAGTGAGTTCCAGTTCATTTAGAGACTGTAAAGACTTTATTTCAAAAAACAAGGTGGAAGGTGATAGAGGAAGACACTAAGATACCAGATATTCATCTCTGGTTTTCATCCACAAACAGATGAGTTTGAGAACCCACATACATATGCAAACACAACACACACAAAATACAAATAGCTCTTTATACCTTTACCATCTGCACAGAAAGTGCTGCAATTATAACTACTAAGATGAGGTCATAGTCACAAACAAAAGAGTTTAGATCATGGGGTGTGTAAGACTTAAGTTTTCTATTAAATTCTTAAGCATACAAAAAGGAAAAATTAACTTCCACATACCAATCAACAATGTTTAACAAATTATCATTGTGTGACCAAACTTATTTAAGTACCATTTCTTCTTTTTTTTTTTTTTGTTTTTTTTTTTGGTTTTTCGAGTCAGGGTTTCTGTGTGGTTTTGGAGCCTGTCCTGGAACTAGCTCTTGTAGACCAGGCTGGTCTCGAACTCACAGAGATCCGCCTGCCTCTGCCTCCCGAGTGCTGGGATTAAAGGCATGCGCCACCACCGCCCGGCCATTTCTTCTATTAATTATTTTAAAGCAATTGCAATTTTGGCATTTTAAAGAATGTGTATTCTGAGCTGGAGAGAGATGGCTCAGTGGTTAAGAGCATTGCCCAGCAACCACATGGTGACTCACAACCATCTGTAATAAGGTCTAGTGCCCTCTTCTGGCCTGCAGATATACACACAGAATATTGTATACATAATAAAGAAATATTTTTTTAAAAAAGAATGTGTATTCTTAAAATGATTTAAATCTTCAGTGGATCATAAAATACAGCTACAAATTTCTCCCATGTCCCAGTAAGAACACATGTTGGAAATGCCACGTGCTCTGGGACTGGACAGAACACGGCCAACTTTTACTTTTCTATCCCTTGAATGCAGAGGTGTACTCAAGTGATACTGTATGATCTAAAAAAATCTTAAGAGGTCGTGTAGCTTCTATTTTCATTCTTCAGATGCTATCCTAAAACATCATACCGTAAATCACTCAGAATAGCAAGATCCAAGGATCAACCAACACCACCTAAGAGCAGGGAAGCTAACTAAATATGGCCGAATAAGGGAAGCTCTTTGACACACAAAACTTCTAGAGCCTTTTAGAAAAATCTTTCTTGAAACTTAGCTATCACAGACTTAAGATAGTCCTAATATTTTTAAGGTTTTGTTAAATACTTTTAAAGGTAAAAATTTAGCAGCAGCATCAAAAAATCTGTGATACTGTCTATCAGTACTACAACCCTTAAAGATACAACCTATTCTCTTTGAAGTGGTTTGCTGTTGAGACGTCACAATTCAATCTTCATACAGCATTTTAGAGTTCTTTTTTACAAGCCTACCCTCCTTTTAGAGCTGTGGAAAAATGGGTGCAAAGGATTAGGTGATTTTAAAACCAGACTTTCAAACTTATCTAGCCTACCCAGTAGTCACAGGTAAGGCCAGCTTTGACCACAATAAGGTTCATCTCGGTGTAGAAAACTAAAATTAAAATCAAAATTAACATCAAATCTCAGTCACCTCTTAAATTATATAAAGCAATGTTATCACTTCTGCTCAGTCCTTTTGGGTTCACTCCCAGTAACTTTACTAATGATACAAGTTTAATCAAAAACAGGAAAACAGAAAAGATAAACTCAAATGAAATTATCTTTTTCAGTGATTCATCAACTTTAGTAGGAACTTGTTCAACTTAAATTGTTATCTAATTTGGCCCACTGTTGATCTAATAGTTTAATAGCTCATTACTTAATACTTAATTTGTTACTTAAAAACCATTACTTGATACAAGCTTATACATTTTACATAAGTCTTCCCAGGTTTCTGACACACAGAAAACAATCTGCCAACAAAGATAATCTTTAGATCAATTTTATTGGATACAACAGTTCTTCATTCCACAGCACAGGGCACTAAACTTCCTAATGTATTACAGAAAGTTTCCATGCCAACCTCTAACCTCCCTTCATTTCACCTTTGAGCCACTGTCACCTTCTAAAACCACATCACCACAAGCAGGTCCTAGCCACCCCTCAGCTGAGTGCAAGCATTTCTCCCTTCAACACTTCCCAAGCCTACACATACCATACACATACACTTCTGCACAGTGTTTACAGCAAGGTACAGACAGCAAGTGTTTACACATCTGTCTGATGACTAAACTGTGAGTTGTGGAAAGATAGAGCACCAAGCTCATTGTTGCAAAGGGAAACCCTAATCTAGTAACCAAGCAGTGCTTTATACCACTGGATACATTTTCCACAGTTAAGATTACCTTCTTGAAATATATTAAAATGTGGACAACTCTTTATCATATAACAGATGAAAGAGGTGTGAGATGGATATGGAATTGACTAAGCGTTGTCTACATAAATACTATGGATGGCTTATGTATAAGGTGATTATCCAACACCTTCATGTAGAACAGAGGAAAATTTTGCAATTACGCAGGAAAACAAACCTCCATATTCCAGACACCTGATCTGGGTTTGGGGTTATAGTTTGGTCAGAGTAAATGCTTACTTAGTATACCTGAGACCCCACATTGCATAAGACATCTGACCCCATGAAACTGAAAATAAGATAATGGGGGGGGGGGGTGAGGGCGACAGTAAATTCCAACATATATGACTGTCAATGAATAAAATCTATAGGTGTGTGGGGGGAAAGGCAATGGTGTACCATTTAGGGCAAAACTAGAGCTGTGTAGTGGTATTGGATCTGATGGCACATGCCAGCAATGCCAGAAAGCTTAGGCAAGAGTATCTTAAATTAGAGGTCAGTCTGGGCAGCATTGTAAATTCAATGCCAGCATGAAATACAACGTAAACAAAATAAACCCATATATACGTGAACCTATGTGGATACAACTCACAAAGTCCAATTTTAAGCTTTTCCTGAGCATAATACTTGGTTATAGACCCGTGGTAAATTCTGTTTACAGTCATTACAAATTCACACTGCAAGTATTTTATGCCTTGTAGAGTGTTTGCTGACTGCTCCACACACTAGCTCAGCCCATTAAAAACACATCTCAGGAGCAGGGGAACTCATCTCAACCAAGAAATCTGAAGATAACTACGGTCATGAGTGACCAGGGCCTCTGATTCTACTGCTACCCCTCACGGCCACAGCATGTCGGCTGCTTCCCACTCACGGGAGCTGGAAACGAAACACTGACCCCATTTCTGGTTATCTTGTGAAAATACCAAGAAAGAATCTTCCTTCTTAGTGATACTACTGCTGTTGGGTTTGTAAATCAGAGATTTATCTCTATGCTCACCTACATTATGTAGCTTCATTCTGCATACAAAAAGGAGTAGAAGGGAGCAAGAAATAAGGACATTTAAAACATTAAACAGAGTACTTAAAAACTACAAAAAACGGTGTGTGAACCGAGGCCGGCCGACTCTTATTAAATTGTTTTCACACTGGTCTTGAGGATGTGTTTATTACCCACACGGATCCCCCCCTCCCCATATACTAACATCTATTTTGTGGTAAAGGAGTGTTCATTGTAGTGATTTCGATGTGTGTGTGTGTGTGCACACGCTCTTCGTCTTCGCGACGCAGTTTCAAGATGAGGAAGCATTTTATTACTCACACCTTGCGTGTCTAGAGTCGGTCATTTACACCTCTCGCCCCGGTTTGGCTCTCAAGAGCCATCTTTTGCTACTCATGCCAGTGTCACGCAACTCACGGCGCGGGGCCACGCAGAGGCCTACCGTCACCGACCCCGAGGGGCTCGACCCCGACCGAAATTCCAGGTGGGGTTACCAAGCGCGATCCCGTACTCCCGCAGCACGGCGCCACAGGCCGCCGCGGGTCCCCAAGGAACACGCACCGCCCGCCCTCCCCCGCTCCCAGCGCCCGGGGGGTGGGGGTGGGGGTGGGGGTGAGCGCACGCCAATGCTCCCCTCCCCCACCGCTGCTGCCGCTCTTTACCCTCTTCCAGCTGGCACACCGCAGGGAGCGTGGGGCTCACCGCAGCCACAGGGCCTCCTCCTCCTCCTCCTCTCCCGGTGCTCTCGGTCTCAGGCCACGGGGACAGCAGAGCAGTCGGCGACGAAGCACAATGGCGGCCACCCCTCCGGATACGGCGCACAAGTGGCCGCCGCCGTTGGCAGCCCCGCCCTTCCTCCTCCCCCGCCCCCTTGCGCGCTCTCGCCCGCCCGCTTCTCGCGAGACTGGCGGCGTTGCGGGGGAGCCGAGAGCTGCGGGCTGGCTAGACGTGCCCCGCCGCGGGGTGGTGCTCTGACTGCGGCAGCCGTTGAGGGCCGCTTCGGGGGAAGGTGCCAGGCGCCACGGTAAGCGGCCGTGGCTGGTCGGCGACGTGCGGGCGTGCGGGCGCCGGGAGCGGCGCGGGAGGCCGGGCGGGCTGGTCACCGCCCGGGGTGCGAGGGGCACGGTGCTCGCCTCGCTCCCGCGCCCGCCGCGGGCCCCAGTAGGCCCGCCGCTCCGGGTCCCGCCGGCTGGTTGCGTGGGTGGATTTTGTTTCTTTGCGCTTGGCAAGTGGCGCAGTGACAGTTGACGGAATCGAGTCAAACACTTGCCTTCTCCCACTTCCCTTTCGAGCCTCCCCTGGCGCGTCCCTGCCCACCTTGTAGGGTTTGACAGCGCTCCCTCCATCTACAGCCTCCTGATTGATTCCGACAGTCCCTTTCTCGTAGTTTCCTTGGAGTCGATAAGTTTTTAGTATTTTTTACGGTCACTTCTATCTTAAAATTATGCTGTTAAGCTTTGAGAGCGCAGCTACAGGTTTTGCAGCAAACATTCACTTATGTAGAAAGACCGAGGAAATTCTGTGACGTAGTCTGGTGTATATGAGTGGAAACTTTCAAAGCCGCTCTCAATGTGGTAAACTAAGATGTAAATGAGAACTAATAAATACGAAGGAGTGTGGGAAAGCCGCAAATGATGGGGAGTTTGACCGATGTCCCAAGCACCAATTGTTTGACGGTAAATTCTTACTGAAATTTGGAAGCGTGGTGAAGACACGAGATTTTATGAGTGACGTTTGATTTGATTTAGCTTTTTGTTTGCTTGTTTTAAAGAATCCCTTGGATCCAAATAATTCCACGAAGTGAAATGCCACATATGTATGTGTGTGTGTGTGTGTGTGTATTTGGATTTGTCATTTCATATGAACAAAGTGGAGTATCAGTCGGCAACCATCCCTGTTTCGTTGGTCTGCGGTCATCACTATAATAAATTTTAGCTACTACAAACTTCAGGGATTTTTGTTTGCCTTTTGTTGACACCCACTCCTCAGCCTTTTAGGATGTTGAAATGTAGACAAAGTATCTGGTAGGAAATATAATTAAATACAGATTACTTTTAATTTGTCCTTTTAAGAAAATTAATTGTTCCATTATGTTTGATCTACCCTTAAGAATTCTTGGGTTCAAATGTCAGCCCTGCTTCTTACTACCTTTATCTTCAGCAATTGTTTAAATTTGCTAAGAATTCCTTAATCCGTGCTTGTTCCCGTGGATTAGGGACCTAAATCCACAATACTGCCCAAACGTCATCATGGTGTTGTTGAAAGGATTAACTGAGGTGATACATCATCAATTCTTAGAACATAGCAAGCATTCCATAATTGTTCATAGTTACCTGTCTTAAACCACCCCTTTGCCTTTCTAGAACTTAACATTGTATAGATCCCTAAACATCTTTCTGAGTGTGTTCTGTGTTTCCCTGAGTTATAGTAGTCAAACCTGGTAGTGGGAACTTTTCTCTGGAAGCCCTAAATCTGGCAAGGATCGCATGTGGATTTTGGCAGATTATGGCTTCGTCTCCTCCCAGTACTGAGGATTTTATTACGAGAGGTGAGTGTGGTACCAGATTTCTATTTCACTGAGATTCCAGATGTTAATTTTTATTTATTTAATGTGTGTATGGGGGAGGGCACTCACACCGAGAGCATGTGTGAGGTCAGAGAGCGACTTTTGGGAGTGGGTGTCCTCCACCATGTGCGCACTGGAGATCGAACTCAGGCCATCAGGCTTGGCAGCAGGTGACTCTCCCTGTTGAGTCATCGCTCAGGCTCCAGGTTCCAGTTTGTAGTTAATGCTAGGTAACATCTAAAAACCACTGCCTCCCTTTTTTTTTTTGTGAATGGTTGGGGGGGTGGAGAATTGATTTACTCCCTACTGTGTATTTTTAATGATATTTATCATTACCAACAAATAATTACTGAAATTTTGCTGTGTTAAAGACATTTTATGTTTCACTTGAAATTATGGATTTAAGTAGATATAATAGTGTCTGTATGTTACCAAACGATAATCAGAGCAAATGATTGGATAGGCAAGCATCTAAAATCAGAGCTCTTCTAAACAAGCTAGACTCAATCCCCTTTCATTTGTACATTGGCCCATCTTTGATAATCTATCCTCTCTGACTGTGGCTCGTTTCTGAATTAGTGTCTCTTATTCTAGTTATTCTGAATTAGTTGACTCCTGCCAACACTGTTCTTATTAATTTCCATCTCTTTACTTCTCCAAGGCAGTGTCTCACTGGCTTTTACTGACTTCATTCCTCTGCTTTATAGACTTGTCTATCAATCTAGCCATGGCCATACAGTCCTTTATCCTTAGGCTTAATTATTCATTGGATTACTTAGAATTCTCTTTCAGATGTTACATTTCAAGTTACCTTTTCTCTTGTCATCGTTGGACCATATAACCTTTGTAGAAGCTCCCCTATGTGAAAAGCAATCATAAAGATATTCTTTACTGCTGAGAAGATAAGGCACTATTACTATTAGCTTTTTGCAAATTGATTGTTTTCAGTTTTTCAGTTATAGATTATCTTAATCTTTTGAGAAGCCTGTTTCTCCACCATGAGTGCTTTTTGGGGGATACCAGTTTCTTCTCAAATGAAAATCTTATTAATCCCTAGGCTAGAGAAGGGAATCTGGGGCCATCAACTAACTTGACAATCTACTATTTAAATTTATAGGTAGTGCCTGTCATGGTGGTGCACACCTGTAATCCCAGCACTGGAACTCAGGAATCGGAGGCAGGAGGATTACAAGTTCAAGGCCAGCCTGGGCTACAGAGTTCCTAGCCAGCCTGGGCTATGAGACTCTGACTCAAATAAACAAAAAATAATAATAAAAATAAACTCATAGGTAGGTCCCATTTTCTAAATTAAAGATCCCTATTTGCAATAAATGTTATGAAAGTCTTGTACTGTACGTCTTTGACAAAAAAGAATTCCTTTTGTTCCTAAAATTGTAACTCTTGTGTTTAATATTTCATAATTTTTTAATTTTCCTTAACAACTATTATTGAAAACATGCAAAATTTAATAAATGAATATCTAAAACGTTCCTTTAATTGACTTCTGCTTTTTTTGGCAGGAAAATTTTAATCTCCAAAGGTAATAATTAAAAGCATAAGAACATGTGAAAATAATGCCAAAACATTAGAGATCACATTCACTCATACTTGTTCCAGACTGTCTGTTCTAGCAAGGATGATTTCCAAGTCGGGGGCACAATTTCCACTACATGTGTGACATACCTTTTTCAGTGCTTAAACCCTAGAATGTGGAGCTAGAGAGATGACTCCATGGTTAAGAGAGCTTGGAGTGCCCAGTATCCATATCCAATGTCTCACAACTGCCTGTACTTCTAGCTGCAGGGCGTCTGATACTCAGGCCTTCGAGGGCCCTGAATTCATATGCACAAACCCTCATACTGACACACACATCCATACCTAATTAAAAATTTAAATCTCAAACTAAAACGAGCTTAGTGAAAACAGCTATCTTTTATTAATGATACAACTAGGGTTCAGGAAAACCCAGGCTAGATCTTATCCACCAGCTGTTACTGTAAATAGTTTTAATGGAACAGTCATGCCCATTAGTTTATGTATTGTCTATGCATTAGTCAAGGTTCTCCAGAGAAGCATGGGCAGTCGTCTACCACACATTACCTGTCACTTACCAGGAGATTTACTTTAAGGGTTGGCTAATACAATTGTGGTGGCTGACAAGTCGGAAATTTATAAGGCAGGCTGGCACTTACATTCAGGAGTCTGACAGTCTTGAGGGAGAATTCCCTCGTTCCTAGGAAACCTCAGGTCTTCTGAGCCTGGTTGGACAGGGCTCATGTACAGTTTTGAGAGCCATCTTCCCTTCCAGTTAACAGGTGTAGGTGTTATCCACAACTACAGAACTCCACCACAGCATTTACATTTACCGGATGAGTGCGGATTGTCTTAACTGGGTACTCAAGTCTTGTCTACACAGTAAAGTTAGCATCACTTGGTGTAGTAGTGAGGAGGAGTGGGCCACTTCTCACCGCCCAACTGGCTTACACCTGGGCTGGCAGGCTGCTTGTCATCCCGGCCACCTGGCTAGCTTATGCCCGAAATAATCACACAGAAATATGTATTAATTAAATCATTACCTGGGCATTAGCTCTGGCCTCCTATTGGCTAATTCTTACATCTTAACTCAACCCATTTCTGTTATAATCTGTGTATTATAGAAAGTCGTGGCTTACCGGGAAAGACTCAGCATGTCTGACTCTGGCGACCCCTTCTTTCTCTCAGAATTCTATTCTCTTTTCCCTACCTATCTAAGTTCTGCCCTATCAAAAGGCCAAGGCAGTTTCTTTATTCAACCAATGAAAGAAACACATAGAAGAACCTCCCACACCAACTTGGCTGTGATTATTGTCTTCCTACAGAGCCAGAATTGAGAACCTAAGGCAGTATGACTGAGAAACACTAAAATATTCACTATCTTGTCCTGTATCTGTTACTTTTCTCGCTGCAGTGATAACATACTGGACAAAAGTAACTTCAGGAAAGAAAGGCTTGTGCTGACTGCTTTTATGTCAATTTGACAGAAACTAGGGTGATTTTGTGTTGTAATAGGAGTGGAGGGGCTGCGTCCCCAGCACCCCGGCCGCCTGCTAGCTTATGCCCCGAAATAATTACACGGACACTTTTAAACACTGCTTGGCCCATTATATCTAGCCTCTTCTTGGCTAACTCTTGCACCTGGACTAGCCCATTTCTAATAATGTGTGTAGCATCCCAAGGTGCGCTTACCGGGAAGATTCTAGCCTACGTCCATCCTGGG